ACTTCAGGAGAATTAAGTAAAAAAATCCCAACCGAACAGCAAAGAACAAGTCACTTATTAATAGCAAAATCATAGGATTTTGTGAACACCCTTTAAACACCCTACAACTTGAACCAGAGAGGAAGGAACTTTTCACTGGTCTATGTACAGGTGACTTATCTTCAACTTCACTGAATCTTTCTTCTACTTGCTCAAATCTACTGTTGAGCCACTTGGGTGAATTTTTATTTCAATTATTGTACTTTCAACTCTAGAATTTATTTTTGTTCTTTTTCATCTGTTTATTGATACAAATTATTTACTGTTGAGACATTATTTTAAAGTTCTTTCCTTTAGCTCCTTAGATACCGTTTTCTTTTGTTCTTTAAATATTTTAACATAACTAAAGTCTTTGTCACTGATCTTACAAGTTTCCCCATTACTCAGAAGTATCTGACATAATGATATGATGAAATGGGATGCTGAAGGCTCTGTGCGAGTGCAGAGACAAGAAACAACACAAAACAACGTTGGTTTATTATCCGACAGGATATAAGATATAACTAAGCCAAGACTTTTCCTAGATCAGGACCATCTCTCCTATAGTCAGAACAGACAAATCAAATATGACTTAAATGTAAAGGTCAGAATGACCCTCATGATTCTCACACCTATTATACATAATAATCCACTTAAGGTATTTTTGATTCAGGTACTTGGAAGTTTGAATCAGGCATGTTTGAAAACCCTAGTGCCCACAGAGGAATACTTCTACCAATGAACACAGTCATTGTGCCATTAAATTTTAAATGGAAATTTTTCATATGTTGGGCTCTGCAGACTGAAGAAACAGGCAGAAAGATCCCTGTACTGGGTTCAGTGCTTGGTCCTAATTAACAAAGGGAAAGTGCATTGCTACACACAATGAATGCATGAAAGATGATGTCTCCTCTTACTCCCAAATGCAGGCATGAAAGACAAGAGAGACATCTGTAATATTTTCAACAATAAAAATAAACAAACAACCTTTAATTTTGAAAAAAAGATGAGCAATTTTGAAAAAAAGATGGCTTTTTCTTAAAGCCAACTTTGGATAATTTCATAATCCAAACTGTAAAATCTTTATGAAACCAGAAGAAGATGGCCATGCTTTGTGCAGGCAAGGAGAGAGATATCTGGATGTGACAAACACTTCTAGCTGCAATGATGAGGTGAACCCCGATCTGTTCTCTGCAGTTACACCTGGGTTGATGTGGTGGCAATCCTGACTTATCTGCATGCTCGATAGAGAGCAATGATAAAACAGAGGCAAAACAACAAAACAGAACCATTATAAATTTGACTCCTATGGTAATTAAGGTTTGAGTCACCCGACTGAGGAACATACTCTGGGCAGCCAGAAACTGGCAGGAAGTAAAAGAAATATAAATTTAGTGGTTCAAAAGTTTTAATTATCTTAGGTCACATGATGAGCTTTAGAAGCTTAGACTAACTTCTATTTTATAGAATAGAATGGATGTTTTATTTTACTTTATCATTTCTTTAGCTCTTTTGTTTTTGCTTCTTTTTTCCCTTCTACTTTCTATGAAAAGCAGTGATGGTTCATACTGCAATGAGGTTTGAAGTGGGCATATGTCGGAGTTTAAATCAATTGATGATTTGAAAGCTAAGGGACTTTTTGTGTCCCCAGTGTTGGGGACAGAGTTTTACTTCCTATCCAAAGCTGTAAGTGAACAGTAGCAGCAAAAAAGAGTTGGCTGTCATGGATGTGCTGCACTTGCTCCTGTAGATCCACCTCTAATCATTTCCACCCCCTCTGGGCCCTAATAAGCTGACCCCTAAAGAGTGCATCAACTGCCCTGGCCGGTTTGGCTCAATGGTTGGAGCATCGGCCCGAGGACTAAAGAGGCCTGGGTTTGGTTCCTGCTAAGGGCACATACCTCAGTTGTGGTTTGTCACCAGCCCCAGTTGAGGTCATGTGGGTGGCAACCACTCAATGTGTCTCTCTCACATCAATGTTTCTCTCTCTCTCTTCCTCCCTTTCTCCCTCCCACTCTATCTCAAGATAAATGCAAAAATGTCCTAGAGTAAGGATACCAAAAAAAAAAAGAGTGCATCAACCAAGCAAACTGGCCCTTTAGCTGTTGGTTAGGTTCAGCCAATGGAAGGAAATAGCAGGAGGTCAGAAATGAAAAGGCATCAAGATAGGAATTGCTCTGGCACATTCCCTCATGGACTACAGTTTGGAAATGGCTGTGTTCCTCTAATCAAGGTCAAATGACCCTCCTTTCTCTGTTACAGATGTTCCCATGTTATGGAAAAGAAAAAAAAAAACTCCTCCTTTTGCTCCTTCATAACTGCGGTTGTAATGACTGTTGTCCCACTGTTGCTGGTTCTGGGTACTTCACTATTGTTTTTAAATTCTTTAATCTTGTAAGCTCTTTGTAAATAGTTTTCAGTTGTTCCTTTGAAGCATGATATCTGTTCCTTTCAGGACACTGACATACAGGTGGAGATGATCACTTTTAATGAACACATTTTTTATGGGGAAATACCTCAGGGATCCCCATTAAAGCTAAGTATAAGTCAAGGTTTCCTCTACTCACAATTATACCATTTTTTCCTCTGTTAAGTGACATAATATAAAAATGATAAATGTGATATAAAATATTGGAAAGATATTGGAAAAATAAGTCAGTAAGGATATCATTACTACTCAGCAATAATCCAAAAGAATTAACTGTATCTTAAATACCAAAATAAATAGTGAGATTTTTCCTGTTCACAGGTAAAATGATTCAATGTGATCAAAATATCAATTCTTTTTCAAATTAATTACTCATTTACTATATTGTCTGTCAAAATCTTAGTAGGTTTCTACGACCTTCTGAATTATTTTAATACTTATGTGGAATATAATTGCTTGAAACAGAAAAAGTTGTTTGTAATAAGACTGTTGTGTGGCAGGCCTCTTATCAGACATAAAAAGCTACCTACATGACCTAAAATAATGTTTGGCTTAGGAATAATTAACCAATCAAAGGAAAATAGTCTAGAAATATATATACAAGTATTTGGACTTTAAATAGAGTAAACATAGCATATCAGGTGAGGAAAGTAGTTCGAATTTTTGAATAATGTGTTGAAAAACTTGGTTTTAAGGCAACAGAAGACCATTTGTAAAGTAGATTTAAATTCTTTACACATATGCACACACACAAACACACACATCCAAACACAGCAGGAGTGTAACTGATAATACAGTTTCAGGAGAAAATTGTAACCATCCATAAAAGTGAACATGTAAATACCCTACTTGACACAAAAGAGTTTCTTTCAGAATGTCTGTAGCAGCACTCAGCAGCACTCTGACTGAACGGGCACATAATCTGTGGTACATCAGACATGGAATAATATACAGCAGGGAAATGATGGGACTACAGAGACAGGCAGCCACATGACTGCATCCTGGAGAGTTAACATTGTGGATAAAAGTAAGATTCAGCTACACAGCATACTACACAGCATAATTTTAATGAAGGTAAGGAATATGGAACTCTAAACAATGCCTTAAAGATATAGACATATGGCCTGGCTAGTGTGGTTCAGTGGATTGAGCATCACCCCGTGGACAGAGAGGTCACAGTTCAATTCCAAGTCAGGGCACATGCCCAGGTTGTGGGCTCCAGCCCCAGTAGGGGGCATGCATTTCTATCTCTCTCCCTCCCTCTCTCTCTGAAAAAAAATCAATAAAAACATATTTTTTAAAAAGGTGTATACATATGTAGTTAAACTATTTTTAACTGTGATTAACAAAAAAATCATCATTGGGATTACCTCTGGAAAGAGGCAGAGGAACAGTATATTGATCATATCGTAGGTAAGAGATTACAAAATCTAGAAATAAGTTGCATATATTATTAGTATGCATAAAAAATACATAAGTTTTAAAATAATAAAAGTTCTGATTTTTTGTTGTTATTGTTGTTAGAAAAGAAAACTTAGAAAACATAGATGGTGTTCCCATTGTACAGTGAAAGCAATTCCATCTTCTACCTAGTTCATGATGTTCCAGGACGGGCTACAGACTGAGAAACCAAAACTGGTTGGTTTTCTAACATAAAATATATAGCCCCATAAAAATCTGTATTAAGTCTATAATTAAAAGTATTTAAGTTGAATACAACTCTTAGGGAATACATTACTGTGCAAAATGGTACATTTCTTTGCCCAATCTTCGGTATCATGAAGACCAAAAAGCTTTATCTACTTGAAGAATGGCAAAATTGCATATAGTATCTGGTGAGGAAAGGCATGAAAATAAGTTTATGACTTGGATGAGTATGGTTTTCTATCCTCTAATCAAGAACTAGAATTTGTTTTCATTGTCAACCATGCCATACCGATTTGTGCTATCCTGTGAATATATCCAACATCCTATCTAATAAAACTGCTCACTGATTATGTCTTTAACCAAATATGATTTCATCTCCTGAACTTCAAATGCATAGACATCAACCTGAGGAACAGAAGTAATCTTAAAAGTAAAATACATAAGGCAGCTACAGAAAGCTCATGTGTGGATAAAATAGCAAACATTAAAATTTTAAAACCACTGTTTTGACCAGAGAAATTTGTTCCCAATATTAGCCAGATTGCTTTCTCATTATTGTGGGTAAAAGTAAAATTTCAAAGGTAGCTTGTTTTTAACTTTTCAAGGGAAAAAAAAAAAAAATCTTTCTTCTAAAGTCCCATTTCAATATAGACAAAGGAAAAGCTGTAAGGTGAACTTAGTTTATTTTTTCTTGTGACAGGACAAATACGTGTGCCTTTTGTTCATCCTCTAGAATGTCTCTATTAAATTGAGTCTGACCTCAAACAACAATTTATTCTACCTTTTGATGCCTTTACATACATAAAGAAAAGCATCCCTAGAGAACCCAGTGAGTTGACTGAGTCTTCCATTGTTACAATGGACTGCCTGTTTGCCGCTTCAGAATTAGTAACATTAGTAACTGCATTCAGTACGGGTGACCCATTCTCCTTGTATCTATAGTTCGGTTTTTACACCAGAGTCTTTTCACGGCATTTTTCACTTCCGAATTTCTCAAAGTGTATATTAAAGGATTCAACATGGGAGTGATAACAGTATAAAACACCGTTATGAATTTATCAATGGGGAAGTTAGAAACAGGTCTAACATACATGAAAATACAGGGAACAAAAAAGAGGACGACCACCACGATGTGGGAACCACAGGTGGAAAGGGCTTTGCGCCTCCCTTCCTGATTACGCGTTTTAAGGGAACTGAGGATGACGCCATAGGAGATTAGTAGAAAAATGAAGATGAGCATACAGATGACTCCGCCATTGGCAACTACGGTGAGGCCTACAAAGTGGGTGTCAGTGCAGGCAAGCTCCAGTAGTGGGTACATGTCACACATGAAGTGGTCGATGACATTGGGGCCACAAAAGGGGAGGCTGTACACAAAGAGAAGTTGGACCACAGAATGCACAAAACCTCCGACCCAAGCCACCACCAACAGCAGGATGCAAACCTGTCTGTTCATCATGCTGATGTAGTGCAGTGGCTTACAGATGGCCACATAGCGATCATAGGCCATCGCCACCAGAAGGAAGACCTCAGCACCCCCAAAAAAGTGTTCCAGAAAGAGCTGTCCCATGCAAGCTGGGAAGGAAATTGTCTTTTGACCACAGACTAAGTTTATAATCAATTTGGGTGAAATGGCAGTGGAATAAACCGCATCCAGGAGTGACAGATAGGCCAGGAAGAGGTACATGGGGGAGGCCAGGGAGGGGCTGGCAAGAACAGTCACCACGATGAGCAGGTTGCCCACCATTGTCACAATATAGGTGAGTAGAAATATGACAGACAATGCTTTTTGGCCCTCAGGATCCTGAGTGAGGCCCAGGAGGACAAATTCTGTCACATTGTTACTATGTTCCATTTAGTCTTCTCTAAAGCCTGTTTCAGGGATGAGAGGTCAGGAGAATGGAACCTGTAATGAAATGGTGAACACGACTATGGCTACATCAATTATGTTTTAAAATATATCTTCATTACTATATCTTCTACAGGGGGTTATACACAATAGACTTTTAGTAAACATCTCTGAGTTCTTCTTCCTAGCACCCCATCACACTTTCCCTTGACAATTCTGTTTCTCTTCAGATGATTTTGTTTGGGCAACAAGTAAGAGGTCTAGTCGTTAAGTCATAGTACATTGTCTACATAGGAGCATGTCAAAGGCCCAACAGTCAGTCATTTGTTTAATAGAGCCTTATTTAAACTGTCTCCTGGGCACAGAAGTCAGCAATGACTTACTCTACGGTGATAGCAAAAAACAAAAACAAAAAACAACAACAAAACAAAACAAAAAAAACTCTAAATAAAGTGCCATGAAGTCAGCCTTCTGAGTTGGTAGTATTTTGGGTGAGTACCTTTATATGATCTATGCAGCACCAAAAATAGTGTCTCTTTTGGAATAACTCACTTAATACTATGTTAATTCACTGTTAGATCTTTAGTCCTTCATGTCTCAATGGATGTTCAGTCTTCATGGGTCTCTCATTAAATTTCAAGAGACAGGACTTTGAACTGTATCAAACTATAAAATTATTTAGCCCATTGTTCCCTATAGCAATTACTTGGTTTGACTCTATGACTATCAGCTCTTTCCTTTTTTTTTTTTTTAACTGTCAGCTTTTTAAGTTGTAATTCTCTCCATTTAATCTTTGTTTATCCCACAACTCTTAACACATAGACATTATTTAGATTTTCAGCATATGGTTTTGGACTTAACTGACTCATTACTATCATCACTTATTACATTAGCAGCTAGTATTTTTTTTTTTCCCAAAACTCTTAGAGTGAACTAAGTAATAAGGAAGGAGAACACTGAGGTAGAGGACAATGAGACATGGTTTTATTCATGATGCTACCAAGGTACTGAGAGTGCTCAAAAATAGAGTTTTGGTGCCCAGATTCCAGAAAGCAGCACACTCCAGGGAGAAGCCCTTACTCGGTGTAAGAAGGCATGGGTTTGAGTCATTTCTAAATGTAACTGCAACACTATCCCAGTTTTCTCATTGGAAAATACAGGGCTCGAATTAGACAATCTCAGAAACATCTTCCTATGACACTTTTTGTGCAGCCCTATTTTATATTCCATTCTGCTAACCTTTTTCATAGTTTTACAATAAAATTAAAATTTCCAAACTTATCACTGTTCCTTGAAAAATACAATCCACTGACTTCCGGTCAAGATGGCGGCGTAGGTAAACGCGGTATCACATCCTCCCACAACCACATCAAAGTTAAAACTAAACTACAGAACAACCATCATTCAAAACCGCCTGAAATCAAGCTGAATGGAAGTCCTACAACTATGGAATTAAAGCAGCAGCCACCTCCAGACTGGCAGGAGGGGCGGAGGGGCGGAGGGGCGGAGGGGCACAGGCGCAAGGGGCGGCTGCGGCGTGACGGGCTGGTCCCACATCCAAGTGTGGCAGATAAAAATCAGGAGGACACCTCGGCTGGGAAGGTCCTCCCTGAGGACTGAGGGGTCCCCGTCCCACACCAGGTGCCCTGATCAGGGTTCCAGTTTAAGGAAGAGAGTCCCCATAACTTCTGGCTGGAAAAACCAGCAGGAACTGAGGCTCAGGGAGGCTGAGGTGGCTGGAGCCCCAGGCAGCTCCTTAAAGGGCCCGCGCACGGACTTATCGGACTCTCTCCCTCTAAGCTTGGAGGGGAGGCAGCTCGAGGGGCACCAGAGACATACAGGGAAGAACTGAGCTGTTTGGCACTGGAGCGAGGGCTGGAGAGGGGGCTTTCTCAGGGACAAACGTGCTGTCAGAGGCCTTTGTTCCTTTGGTGAGCCCTTCCCTGGGGCGGCAGACAGTCGCCATATCTGGGACTCCAGCAACCTGGCTCACACTGGTAGCCCCGCTCTGGTGACTCCCTGAGGCCCCGCCCCACCCCACCCAACTTTCAAGCCCACCCAACTTTCAAGCCCACCCAAGCAGTTGCCAGTTGCTTAACCATAGGATTGGCCTGTCTTGGATCCTGCTTCAGGTTTTTCCTAAATTCTTTCAAACAAGCAGCATCTGGTCTCAGCGAGCCCCATACCTCTCATTAAGTAATACACTGAAACAAACACAGGGAGGCAGCCAAGTAATACACTGAAACAAACACAGGGAGGCAGCCAAGTAATACACTGAAACAAACACAGGGAGACAGCCAAAATGAGGAGACAAAGAAACAGGTCCCAAATGAAAGAACAGAACAAAACCCCAAGAAAAGAACTAAGCAAAATGGAGATAAGCAACCTAACAGATACTGAGTTCAAAATACTGCTTATAAGGATGCTCAATGAACTTAGTGAGAACCTCAGTGAACTTAGGGAGGGCCTCAAGAGCATAAAAAAGGACCAGTTAGAAATCATGGATACACAGTTAGAATTGAAGGAGGCATTAACTGAAATAAAGAATAATTTACACAGCTTCAATAATAGAGTATGTAAATCCAAGGAGCAAACCATCGATTTGGAATATAAGAAAGCAAAAATGCCCAATCAGAACAGCAAAAAGAAAACAGAATGAGGATAGTGTAAGGAGCCTCTGGGACAACTTCAAGTGTGCCAACATTGGCATCTTGGGGGTGCCAGAAGGAGAAGAGAGAGAACAAAAAATCGAAAACCTGTTTGAAACAATAATGGCAGAAAACTTTCCTAACTTGGTGAAGGAAACAGACATACAAGTCCAGGAAGCACAGAGAGTCCCAAACAAGATGAACCCCAAGAGGCCCACACCAAGACACATCATCATCAAAATGCAAAAGGTTCAAGACAAAGAGAGAATCTTAAAAGCAGCAAGAGAAAGGCAGCTAGTTACCTACAAGGGAGTTCCCATTAGGCTGTTAGCTGATTTCTCAAAAGAAACTTTGCAGGCCAGAAGGGAGTGGCAAGAAGTATTCAGAGTGATGAAAAGCAAGAACCTACAACCAAGATTACTCTATCCTGCGAAGCTGTCATTTAGAATCGATGGCCATATAAAGACTTTCCCAGACAAGAAAAAGTTAAAGGAGTTCATCACCACCAAACCGTTATTATATGAAATGATGAAAGGTCTTTTTGAAGAAAAAGATAAAATATATGAACAAACAAAATGGCAATGAATGCATATCTATCAACAATGAAATCTACAAACAAAATGAACAGGTAGAACAGAAACATTCTCACAGATACAGAGAACATTTTGTTGATTGCCAGATGGGAGGGGGTTTGGGGAAATGAGTGAAAACATGAAGGGATTAAGAAGTACAAATTCATTGCTAGGCTGACAAACCTCAAAGGGAAAGGGGTTGGGGGGGTGGGAAGAAATAAACCAAAGAACTTATATGCATAACCAGTGGACACAGACAATAGTGTGGGAAAAGGTGGGAGGGGAGCGGAAGTGGGGAGGAGGGGGTCAATGGGGGGAAATGTGGAACATCTGTAATACATTTTACATCCAACAATAAAGATTTAAAAAAAGAAAGAAAGAAAGAAATTCAAAAAAAATAAATAAAATAAAATAAATACAATCCACTGGTAAATTGGATTTTATAATTACAGAAACCAAATAATGATTAGAAGTTACTCTGTTCAGTGTGCACCTATTTAACACCCAGAACATCTAGGAGACAGTGGAGCACAGTGATGAATAACAAACTCTGGAGCTGCATTACCTGTGTTGGACTCCCAGCTTTGCCACTTACTGTGTGACCTTGGGCAACTTAATAAACCTCTCTGTGCCTCAGTTTTATCCTTTTTAAAATGGAGATACCAACAGTGCCTGCCTCTTAAGTTGCTGTTTTGTTACAAGTAGGGTGCCTAGAATGCAGCCTGGCACCCAGTAAAGTTTCAATAACTGATAGCTATCATTAGTGTTCTTGAGTGCTCCACTATGAACATTGCATCAGAAGGAATCATCTGGATCTTTTTCAGTGTGATACAAATTATAGACATAGTCCAGGATAAAAAGAACCCTTTTCATGAACCCTTATTTGGGCAAGGGATAATATATGTCTCAGGAATTATCTATTTGATTATATATGAGTAGTGGTATTTACCTGTGATGGAATGTATTTTGACTAGAAGCAAGCAGAATAACAGGGGGAAAAGTGGGATCCATACATCATAGGAAGAACTAAATAATAGAAAATAAAATTTTAAAAAGGATCAAATCAGGAAGGAGAAATTATACTTAAGAAATGAGCCCTGGCCGGTATGGCTCAGCAGTTAGAGCATTGGCCCGCGAACCAGAGACCCGGGTTCAGTTCCAACTAAGGGCACGTACCTCGGTTGCAGTCTGTCCCCGGCCCCAGTTGGGGTTGTGTGGGTGGCAGCCAGTCGATGTGTCTCTCTCACATCGATGTTTCTCTCTCTCTCCCTCCCGCTCTATCTGAAGACGAATGCAAAAATGTCCTCAGGTAAGGATTAAAAATAATAATAATAAAAATTAAATTAAATTAAAAAAAGAAATGAATATTCACAAGCAATAAGAATGTTAATGTGATAATTAAGTGAGATTAGTATTATTTAAAACATCTTCAGAAAAATTTCCTTTCCTGAGGAAGTGCTAGAAGTCTGATGATCCCCTCAGACTTCGAGGGGTTACTCGGGAGGCATCTTGAGAAGCCATAACAAATAAACACAGAGCGCCTCTTAGTAAAAGAAAGAAAAGAAAAAAAAAATTTAATTGATTTCTTGGTGTCCCCTACATCTAATAGTAAAGGACAAAATTAAACAAGAGAAAAATTGTAAAACTATAGATACAAACCCAAACTTTTTGCTTATTCACTCCTGAAGAAACTTACAGAATTACTAGCTCAAGGTCGACCAGCTGATTCCATTCCCACGTTTGCCAGGGAGGGAAGGAGGACCTGAGCAGAAAATCCCAGTGCCTGATTCACATCGCTGTTTCCAGTTGACTCAGCAGTTCTGCCATCGTTGAAGCTGCAGACTGAGAAAGGCACTCCTGTGGAAGAACACAGGGTATCAGGTCGTCTATATCCAACTCTCTTTCTCTCCTTCTTTACGCAGGATCTATCTAGTGCCCTTACTTTTATTAATTATCAATGTTGGGTTTCCCCACAATAAATCTTCTATTAGCCAGTTAAATTGTTTCGACATAAGAATGAGATATATGAACTATTCTCTGTTGTTTAAGTCATCAAAGATCCGATACTATAAAACCTGAAAGATAGCATTACTAGGCTTTCAACTTAAACCACTAAGTTAACACTTCTCTATATTTAAAAAAATCATGTAATGTAGTTTCTTTAGCGGAAGGCTTTTTAAAAAGATAAATTAAAATTCCAGAGTAATAAAAATACCCTCTAAAGTACTTTAAAATTACAGTTTTATGACTCTCTAAAGGATAGTAATCAAGGGACTTCCCTGAGCACAGGTTTCTCTTTAAATATGTATAAATATGAGTTGCTGTGATCATTTTAAAGGGTTCACACATACAAAGCTTCCATATCAGAATCCAAAATCTCATGTGGGGAATGTGATCAGTAATATTGTAATAACTAAGTATGTGGCAGGGTGGGTACTTAAAGTACCAGGGGTCTACTTTGTGGAGAATATGATTGTCTGGCCACTACGCTATACCCCTGAAACTAGTACAAAATAATAATGAATGTAAAATATAATTGAATTTTTTAATGTTGAAATAAAAAAGAATTCAAAATACCATATCAAGATTCTAGAACAAAAGAGGCATTTATTTATTTCTATTATAATATACTTTATATGTGTACAATTTTAAATTATTCAATTTATTTTTAATTAAATTGGGGGGTGACATAAGATGTATGTACTCCTATGTTCATTGCAGCATTATTCGTAGTGGCCAAGACATGGAAACAACTAAAGTGTCCTCAACAGATGCTTGGATACAGGAGATGTGGTACATCTATATACACAATGCAATACTGCTCAGCCCTAAGAAAAGATGAAATACTGTCATTTACAACAATATGGATAGATCTTGAGAATAGCATGCTAAGCAAAATAAGTCAGACAGAAAAAGTCAAGAACCATATGATTTCACTCATACATGGGACATAAAACTGAAAGCAACAAATTAACAACCAAAAAAAAAAAGAAACAAACAAAAACTTATAGACACAAACAATAGGAGGTTACCAGAGAGAAGGGAGGTGGGAGGGTACTAAAGGGTAAATAGGGTCAAATATAAAGACAGAAGAAGATCTGACTTTGGGTGGTAAACACACAATGCAATATACAGATGATATATAAAAATTTCTCTAATTTAAAAGTCTTAAAAACATATAAATATTAACATAGCATGTAAAATATAATAGCCCATAAACCAAGATTATGAATCATTAGTTTATTTGTAATGTATTACATGTTTCCCTTTGTTATTTGGCAAAATGGACAGTAAACAACCATCAGGCTGTAATGCTAAAACCAAACACATTTTGTATATTCTGGTTAATTTCTGTGTTTTGCTAGCTTAATTCTCTCAATTCAGACTTCCTCCAATGAAAATATGTATTTAAGACTATCATGAATTTTCAATGAGTATCCCTTGGTTGCTTTAGTACTCACCTCAGGTCTTTGCCTTAGTCTTTAAAATCAATGCTTCTCTCACTGGGAGTAACTCTAGAGACCTCATGCATCTATGTGTGACCACAGAACACAATAATGTATTGCTCATCAGTAGATGTAGAAATAGTTTTACGTGGCCACACTTTCCACATTTCCACGCAGACTCCCTATTACCTCAGTCTTTGAGACAAGTGTTGCAATATCCAAGGCAGAAGTCTAGAATAGGGAGACACTTAAATAAAACGTAAATATTTACTTGCAAAAACAGTTTAACACTCTCACCTGCTGGGAAAATTTCTTCAAAGAAAAACAAAGTTGCTATATTCACATGGCTCTGGAAAAACTGGCCAAATCTGTGGAAATTAATGTGGCCAAATCAATGACTTGCCAATACAAAAATCTAAAAAAATTGAGAACACTGAAATTAGCTATGGTATTTGAATGTATCTCTTCTCAGTCAGTTATGGTGAGGTAACCAAACAGTGCTTTACTTTGAGGATTTAGGATAACATTTCATGTCTCTGGACATGACTCTCTCTATGTAACTAACAAGACAAATACTGGGCTTTATCTGCCTTGAATAGCCAATGACGGAGCATTCTCACTAACTCTTTAGCCCTTCAGTCACTCAAACAGCTTATCCCTAAGGACACCTTTTCCCTAATTAAAAGTATGTCTCTAATTCTCCTCAACCTCATCCCAGAAAAGTAGAACCGTACACAAGCTCCTACAAGCAATGAGAGACAGCTATGAAAAGGAAAGTATAACAAGAAAACTTCTAGAAGACCAGATAATAATGGAAGATAGACTTCAGCCTAGGCAGAAATTTGAGTTTTCAGAAATGTCTCAGGCATTTCTATCAGAAAAATAATTCTTCTACTTATATGGGCAGACACAGCCTCTCTGGCTTTTTATATCACTACTGGTTTAAATAAAAAATAATCTAAGGTCATTATAGATTAGTTAATTAGAGTATCTGGAACAAATTCAAATGAAGTAATCTCTTCTGGATGGTTCTCTCCCATAGAGCAATCATTAATAAAAAATAAAAATAAAAGATTTTGGTCTTTCCAAGAAAGAGTAACAGGCAGACAAATATATAAAAAGGCTGTAATGTGAAAAGAAATAAATAAAATTAAATTAAGCATTTATGGGCTTCATATTGGGAAACCTTTAGGTGAAACAAGAAAAATTAAGAGAGAACTAGCCTTGGGTTTCTTAATTCAGCTGTATTCCTAGAAAAGGGGGTCCCTACTCTAGCCATTAGAGGCCCTGAGGCAGAGAAGCTTGGGACTGGGGAATTTATTGGAGTTGATATTTCAATTTTTTTTTTAATATTTATTGTTGAATGTATTACAAATGTTCCTCATTTTCCCCCCATTGACAACCTCCTCCCCACCCCCACCCCCCTCCGCCTTTTCCCACACTATTGTCTGTGTCCATTTGTTATGCATATAAGTTCTTTGGTTTATTTCTTCCCACCCCCCAACCCCTTTCCCTTTGAGGTTTGTCAGTCTAGCAATAAATTTGTACTTCTTAATCCCTTCACCTTTTTCACCCATTCCCCCAACCCCCCTCCCAACTGACAACCAATAAAATGTTCTCTGTATCTATAAGAATGTTTCTGTTCTGCCTGTTCATTTTGTCTGTAGATTCCATTGTTGATAGATAAGCATTCATTGCCATTTTGTTTGTTCATATATTTTATCTTTTTCTTCAAAAAGACCCTTCATCATTTCATACAATAACGGTTTGGTGGTGATGAACTCCTTTAACTTTTTCTTGTCTGGGAAAGTCTTTATATAGCCATCGATTCTAAATGATAGCTTTGCAGGATAGAGTAATCTTGGTTGTAGGTTCTTGCTTTTCATCACTCTGAATATTTCTTGCTACTCTCTTCTGGCCTGCAAAGTTTCTTTTGAGAAATCAGCTGACAGCCTAATGGGAACTCCCTTGTAGATATCTAGCTGCCTTTCTCTTGCTGCTTTTAAGATTCTCTCTTTGTCTTGAACCTTTTGCATTTTGATGATGATGTGTCTTGGTGTGGGCCTCTTGGGGTTCATCTTGTTTGGGACTCTCTGTGCTTCCTGGACTTGTATGTCTGTTTCCTTCACCAAGTTAGGAAAGTTTTCTGCCATTATTGTTTCAAACAGGTTTTCGATTTCTTGTTCTCTCTCTTCTCCTTCTGGCACCCCCAAGATGCCAATGTTGGCACGCTTGAAGTTGTCCCAGAGGCTCCTTACACTATCCTCATTTTTGGGGATTCTGTTTTCTTTTTGCTGTTCTGATTGGGCATTTTTTGCTTTCTTATATTCCAAATTGATGGTTTGCTTCTTGGATTTACATACTCTATTATTGAATGTGTGACTTATTCTTTACTTCAGTTAATGCCTCCTTCATTTCTGACTGTGCATCCATAATTTCTGACTGGTCCTTTTTTATGCTCTTGAGGCCCTCCCTAAGTTCACTGATGTTCACACTAAGTTCATTGAGCATCCTTATAAGCAGTATTTTGAACTCAGCATCTGTTAGGTTGCTTATCTCCATTTCACTTAGTTCTCCTCCTGGGGTTTTGTTCTGTTCTTTCATTTGGGACCTGTTTCTTTGTCTCCTCATTTTGGCTGCCTCCCTGTGTTTGTTTCTGTATATTACTTAACGAGTGGTATGGAGCTAGCTGAGACCAGATGCTGCTTGTTTGAAAGAATTTAGGAAAACCTGAAGCAGGATCCAAGACAGGCCAATCCTATGGTTAAGCAAGTAGCAACAGCTTGGGTGGGCCTGAAAGTTGGGTGGGGCGGGACCTTAGGGAATCACCAGGGTGGGGCTACCAGTGTGAGCCAGGTTGCTGGAGTCCCAGATATGGCGACTGTCTGTCACACCAGGGAAGGGTATCCTCCTAATTTTTATCTGCCACACGTGGGTGTGGGGCCAGCCCATCCGCCTCCGCCCCTCCTACCAGTATGGATGTGGCTCCTGCTTTAATTCCATAGTTGTAGGACTTCCATTCAGCTTGATTTCAGGAGGTTTTGAATGATGGTTGTTCTGTGGCTTAGTTGTAAATTTGATGTGGTTGTGGGAGGACGATACCGCGTTTACCTACCCGCCATCTTGACCGGAAGTCCTGATATTTCAATTATTGACAGGACAAATAATCACAGTCGTGTAGTGCTGAAGGCCTGAATCTATGTCAGTGGAACCATGATGAATTCCAGTTCATTCATTCACCTCTTTATTTGTTGTCCAGTATGGAGTAACTGCTTCTGTAAGAAAGGAATTATTTTCCAACAAGTGCCTGCCTGCCTTCACATCAAATCTCCGATGGCTTCCACTGTTATTTTCTTAACATGCCTTACTATGGGCTCCATTGAGCATTCTCACATTCGCATACATTGCATTTTCTAGGTCACAGGGGCCTTAGGTAAAGAGGCATTAAACACCTTTCTGAACCAGCTGAATATTTTCATTATGTGCTGAGCCCCACAAAAAAGGAGTGGTTTCCAGCTTAACAAAGAAACGGATGAAATCCAGCAACCCCAAATGTTGCTTATATTACTTCTAAAATTTAAAGAGTCCACCTTGCCCTGGCTGGTTTGACTCAGCGGTCAGAGCGTTGGCCCGCAGACCAATG